TATGAGACGTGTCAACGCTGTACCAAGTGGGAGTAATTATTGTTGTGAATAAAGTGTTTGAGGTTTCATCCCACGCACACAGGCTATCCTGTCTTCAGAAGCCAATTGGCCGGACACCAAGTCTAACCGTGGATTCCATCAGATTGCGGATTCTTGTAGAAATCGATACAGAGTGACCTGGAGAGGGACCAGGTGGAACAGCCCGCAAAGCTCGCTCCAGCAACAGGCTCTGCAGTTTGTTGCCAGGACTGCTTCCTGGAAATCTATTAGCATCTGACGTCCTGTACCTTGGCACCATATGCTTGGCAGGAGCCTTGCACAAGGCCAGCATCTATAGCTGTGACCTTGGTTCGAGCCAAACTGGATGTCATCCAAGTTAAGAGAACAGGGTACTGAACTCCAGCAGGTCTCTGCGTACTGAAACCATTAACTTAAGCTTGTCACTCATTGCTGTATCTTTGACCGCATGGAAATCAAAATAACCGGTGGCCTCAAATCCTTCATTGCTTTCAGGCTGAAGACCATTGCTTTAAACTTTTTTAAGAATTTGCAGAATGTTGAAACTTCACTCTTCAGTTTTAGTCTAAATCATTAGGCAATATCCATAGTGTGTGGGTTTTGTCGGGGGTGACGTCAAAGGTCCCACCTGGATGACGATGGATGTGAATGATCCTGTGGCATGATTGGAAAAGAGAAGCGGGTTTCTCCCTGCGTCGGGCTGACATTCCCGCAGATAACATATTTTTTCATCACGTGGAGTCCTGTAGTTTATTGGTTAGAGAGCTCGCCTCAGAAGCGAGAAGACCTGGTTTTGATGTCCGAGCAGGGCAAAACCTTAGGAAAGTTTTCTTACTCGACACAACTCTTTATCTAACAGTAAGTAGGATTGTTAGTCGATTGGTGAATTGTTTTCCAAGGGTAATAATCCCTTAAAAAATAATAATAATAATGTGGTCACTCAATCCACGACTGTTTGTGGGGCACTGCTGTGCGCAATTGGCTGCCATGTTTCACCCACAAATACAAATATACAGTGAATTCACTTTACAGTATATTCTGTGAAGCGCTTTGAGACATCGTAATGACGTGATAAGGCGCTATATCAAAAATAATAATACTTGCATTTGATATAGTGCCTTATTGCGTCGATGAGACTTCTCAAAGTGCTTCACAGAATATATTGTGAAGTAGACTGACTGTGTATTTTGTGGGAGAAACGCGGTAATCAATTGCGAACAGCAGGATTATTATTATTAGCTGTTTGTAGTAGTATTTAAATTGAGCTGCCGATACACAGTTGGTCTACAAATACACAGTCGCTATACTTGACAGCAATTCCCTGTGAAGCACTTTGAGATGTGTTTCATTTAATGATAAAAAAAGAATAATACTTGCATTTATAGAGCGCCTATTATGTTGAGCAAAGTACTTCACAAAGTCTCTACAAAGTGTAGTGACTGTATATACCTAGTTGTTATTTTATTATGACTTCTATAAACCGGTCTATCAGCTCACAACAGACTCACTGATACTTGCTGAATGTTGTGAAAGGTTAGGATTGCTCGAGGAATTTTACATTAAACCTGAATGACAAATTAATCCGGGGGATCAGGTTACAAATGAAACTGTAATAACCAGATCCCTAACTCCCACTTGAGAATGCAGACAGGACCTTAATTTAAGGTGTCTCAGCAACAGCATATCAAAGGCAAGAATTATAATAATAAAATAATGATAATAATTCTTGTATTTGATATAGCGCCTTATCACGTCTTCGAGTCGTCTCAAAGCGCTTCACAGACTATATGGTAAAGCGAATTGACTGTGTTTTGTGGTCGAAAAGCCTGATTGAAGTGAAGCTTCAGCAATAATATACAGTACAAATCCCGCCTAAAGACCTTCCTTTTTGATTGTGCTTACGGTCGCCTCCCCACTCCCTCTCCCCCGGCTCAGGGTCAGACTCCGCCACTGTCAAGCACTCCAGGACACTACCCAACTTGAAGGGCGCTATATAAATACAGGTTGTTGTTGTTAAATTGAGAATTCCTTGTCAACCAGCTCCCCTTGTTGGGCAAAGTTGCAAATGACACGTTATGTTTATTATCGCTGCAGATAGACAGACCCAATTTTATAATCTGTTGAAGTTTTTGTTCATTCCAAATTGACTTTCTTCACTCTTTTTCACTTTTAGGACTTCAGCTACAGTAATATTTTGCAGGTGCGCTGTATGTTAGGCCAGGTTTGCACACTGGGGGGAGATCAGGAGATATAAGATAATTCTTACACTGGAGACAAAAATGTCTCGCAGCGCTTCATCGGGAAATGCCATCAAGTGCAGTGACTGTGTCTTTTGCAGACAAACGCAGCAGCCAATTTGCGCACTGCTGCTCTGTGTGAAGCGTGCTGTTTAAATTTTGTTGTTGTTGTTGACCTGGCTGTTTTAAGAGGAACTCAAACTTGTTAAGGACTCGAACCGATTGTTGGCATCAAGGAAAATAGAGAAATTCTCTGACTCTAATCCATCTCAGGCCCTTCACTGATCTTTCTCCAATTAGCTGTCCCTCAGAAATTCCTTACTGGCACAATTCCAATCCGCTGTGTGAGCTATTCCACAGATTTGCCGTTCACTGTAAACAGTAATTAAATCTGAAAGCTTTGGAAACGTCAAATCGTCTCAGAGTGCTTCGAGAGAGAATTTCTTTCAAGTGTAGTGATTGAATCTTTGGCCTACTGTCTCCGGCGGGTGTTATGGGACGTGACCATTCAGTGACACTTGAAATTCCATCTTGTCTTTGCCTGTGAGGCCATTTTATCTTAAAAGTTCAATCCAGTCTTTATATGGAAGCTTAATTTTACCTTGTTAAAACCACTGGTAAACCAACTACACATTAAAGAGTGAATTGAAGAACGTCTAACTGGAATGCACCGAAATTTGTCTGAAATTTGTCTCAAATTTCAAGACAAAATGGTCCTCAGACTGAGATACATTTTGCCTCTGACTCTGGTCCGCAGTTAACTCTGGAGCCTGAATGAATGCTGGTGTTTGGTGTCATCTTGTGGATCTATCCGGTACTGTGCCTCTCTGACTCCAGTTGGATTGACAGCCCAGCTCCACGGGTCTTGCAAGATTTTGTATAATTTTGATAATAATAATGTTTGCATTTGATGTAGCGCCTCATTATTTCATTGAAATGTCTCAAAGCCCTCCACAGGATTTACTGTAATGTGTAGTAACTATGTATTTTGTAGGTGAACGCAATAGCCAATTTGCGCACAGCATAGAAAATAGGAACATAGAAGGGAGGGAACATTCAGCCCCTCGAGCCCGTTCTGCTATTCTATAAGATCATGGCTGATCTGTATTTCAACTCCATTTACCTGCCCCTTGCCCCATATCCCTTGATCCCCTGACCTAACAAACATCTATCCACCTCAGTCTTGAAAATGTGAATGGATCCAACCATAATCCACAGCCTTTTGGGGGAGAGAGTTCCAGATTTCCACTGCCCTTTGGGTGAAAAACTGCCCCTAAATGGCCTGACTCTAATTTTAAGATGACGTCCCTTGTTCTGGATTCCCCACCAGAAAATATTTTTTCTGTATCTACCCTATCAAATCCCTTTATTATTTTAAACACCTCAATTAGATCAAACCTCAACCTTCTAACCTCAAGGGAATACAAGCCAAGTTTATGCAGCCTGTCCTCGTAATTTAACCCTTTAAAACCCTGGTATCAGTCTGGTAAATCTTCACTGAACCCCCTCCAGAGTCAATATACAACAATGCCCTACAAACAGGCAAGAAGTGAGTGACCGATTTTATTTGGGGGATTGTTGGCCAGGACACTGGGAAAGAAAAGTTTTTCTTTTCAATAGAGAAAAGGCTCTTTTCAATAGAGCCATGGCACCTTCGACAATGCAGTAATCCCCCAGATACTGTGCTGGAATGTCAGCCCAGAATATGAATTCAAAGTATCAAAGGAGTGAACTGTGGACCCATAGAAATTTACAGCAGGGAAGGAGGCCATTTGGCCCATCGTGCATGTGGCTCTCTGAACTACCCATTTGGTCTCTTTTTCCTGCCTTTTGCTCTTGCCTTACAATTGTTCTCCTTTGTAGATATTTGTCTAATTCCCTCTTAAAAGCTAATACAGATTCTGCCTCAACTATGTTTTCTTTGCTCAGTCGGGTGTCTGACACACGCAGAAACCCATCACCATGCTTCAGAGTCTCCAAACTAAGCTGAGATTTCCATGCATACCACCTACACATGGAAATCCCAGAGATAGATTGTTGGAATGGAATGTGCTTTCTCTCCCTGGCTTGCCCAGCTAGGACCACTTTCCGTTAGGGCTTTGGTTTGCAGGGTTAACAGGAGCTGAGTGGGATGACTCCATGACCCCAGTGACTGATTGGCCTTTCCAGGTCCTGGCAATGAGCCAGTCTGTGCTGTCATCAGCAGTGAGTGCCCTGGAATATGATGGACCTGACTGGCTCAGGAATCGGACTAGAGACCAGGCAGATCACTTTAGAACCAGTTTAGCTCCAAGGAGACCCCGTTTACTCCCTCCAAGGATGATAGTCACTAGTTGGTCATTCGACATCTGACAAGCGCAGGTTTGAGCACGAGGTGGTACAAGAACTCCCTGCATCTCACCATGAAATGGGTGGGAGCGATGCCACTGTCTTCCTGATCGCAGCTCAGGCACACGTCACTTCCCATTGAGCGATGGTTCCACCAATTGGAGGTGCGGAGTTTAAGCAGCAGCAGCTTGCCTCTCACGGTGCTGAACTCTTAAAGGAAGGAGCTTTACTGGAGAGAGCTCAGCTCAGAAAACATATCTCTGCTGTTTCCCTCCCAGGTCAGTTCGTTAGCTGATGGAATCCTATTAAGTATCATCAGTCACTCTGCTGATCACATCTGTGTGTCTGTCAGCCGTATGGTGTCTGAGCTGACGTTCAACCACAGGACGTTTCCCCCTGCGCCCCACCCACCCCCATAAGGTCTCCCCAACGATGCCTCTGCAATCGGACACCCTGCGTGAAGTCTGGACGACCGAACAGTGAGTATTGGCAATATTTCAGTGTCTGTAACATAGCTCTCCCTGTCCTGATTGACAGCCATTAATCTACAGTAAATCATTGTAGATACAACAGGGAAGAGATGAGGTGTCAGTGTAACCGGTGTTAGCCTGGCTCAGTCACTCTTGCTCTCGCCTCTGAGTAAGAAGAAAAGGTTCTGGGTGCAAGCCCCATGTTGGAGACTTTGAGCTCACCTTCTGAGGCTGACACTCTCATGCAGCGCTGGGGTGGGGGGGGGGGGGCGGGGGAGAGCTGTATTGTTGGAGGTGCCGTCCTTTGGATGAGACATTAAAGATCACATGGCGCTATTCGAAAAGAGAAGGGAGTTTCTCTCTCCTGGGGTTCTGGACGACTTACTGGGTTCCGACTTATTGCTTGGCTAAGGTTTCCACCCCCCCACCCCACCCCCCCACCGGGTCCTCTCACTTGCGAGGCGAGTGCTCTAGCAAAGGGGCATCACTTCCCAGACATAAAGGAAGAACTGATAGCATCACAAAATGCTTCACAGTAATTACTGTCAAGTTAGTGACTGTTTATTTTGTAGGCAAACTCGCCATTGAATTTTCCCACAGCAATTTCCCACAGACAACCATGAAGCCATGAAATGATCGGCCAAATGAGAAACTCTCTTCTCTTTTGCAACCGTGGCCTGTTTAGTTGGACAGGATCTCAGTTTATGTCTTATTTGAAGGACACTGTCTCTGACAATGTAGCACTCTTCCCCCAACTCCCACCACCCACCACCCCTCACCCCAGCACCACACTGATATGTTAGCCTAGACCAGGATGTTCCAACTGGTGGCCCATGGGCCGCAACCAGCTCACGGGATCATATTATTCGGCCCACGATCCACATCCAACTTCATTGTTTGACGAGCAAATAACGAGCAAATACAGTTGACACACAGGCCCTGAACCAATCAGGAGACAATCACCAGGGCCTCAGGCTCCTCCCGGAAGGCGACACTGGTCAATCAGGATCAATATTACTTATGAGACCCACGGATGTTTCTCAAATCCAGCTTCCGGCCCTCCACAGCAGAAGGTTGGACCCTCCCCAGCCCAGCCTAGATTGTAAACTTAAGTCCCAATGTGTGTCCTGAACCCACGATCTTCTGATCCAGAGTCGAGCCAAAGTGTAAGTCAAAGTAACAAGCTAAATGGTCAAAGTGTTGGTGTCAGCTTGGCTCAGCAAGTCACTCTCTGGGTCAAAGTGGCTGACATTCGCCACAGATGGTCCATTAATATTTGAAGAGAGGAAACTAACTGTTTGATTTCTCAAGTTACTAGATCCCAATGTCCTACTGAGACCCAGGATCTCTAGTGTCAAACCCAGTGACAGGCTCCAGTAATAATAATAATAATAATTATCAGGTCTTCAACATGTCTCAAAGCGCTTCACAGAATATACTGTAAATTAAGTTGACTATATTTTGTGAGTGAAACGCAGCAGCCAATTGCACACAGCAATGCCTCACAAACAGTCACAGACTCAGTGGCCAATTTTTTTTTAAATTGTCCCAGAAAAGCGATCCGTCAAGCGACTAACAACCGGCTTCCTTCTTACTGCTAGGAAAAATAGAGGAGTGTGGAGTAAGGAAACTTGCCCAATGTTTCGCCCGGCCCGGGAATCAAACCCAGGTCCTCTCGCTTGCGAGGCGAGTGCTCTAACCACTCAGCTACAGGACTATAATAACAATAATTATTATACTCAGAATATTTCCATGCAGCGCCTGTAACATTCAAACAACTCAAAGAGTTTTTCTGTAATGTGCAGCTACGGTGTATTTGTAGATGAACGCAGCAGCCGATATGTGCACAGCAATGTCTCCTACACGCAGCCTTAGAGTAAGTGACCAATTTTATCTGGAGGATTGTTGGCCAGGACACTGGGAAGAAACTTCCTTCTCTTTTAAAATAGTGTTGCGGGGTCTTCAAGATCTCCTTGAACAGGCAGATGGGACATTGGTTTAACGTCTCATCTGAAGAATGGCTCCTCTGACAATGCAGCACATCCCCCAGCGTTGCACTGGAGTGTCAGCCTTATACATGAGATCAAAGTCCTGACGTGTGAATCTTCTGATTCAGAGGCGAAAGTGCTACCAACTGAGCCAGACTGACACCTGGGGAATAACAATAATAATAATCCTTGCATTTGATATAGCGCCTTTCCACGTCTTCGAGACGTCTCAAAGCGCTTCACAGGATACACTGCAAAGTGAATTGACTGAGTATTTTGTGGGTGAAACGCGGCAGTCAATTACACACAGAAGAACCCGGGAACACCACTTGTTAACTCGAAGCTGCCTGAGACACACCTGATGATCGTCACTCTATACCTCTGTCCACCCTGCTCTGGTACCTTCAATTTTGATATGTGGTATTAATCAGGATGCCCAGCAACACACTGTGTGCTGATGAGCTGGTGTCATGTTCTGCTGAGAGGCCACCTGATGGGGCAGGCTGGCTAGAGTCCTGTCTCCAGCAGTGACTGGTGTTCAGACGAGGCTGGGAGTGCAGCCGAGACGCACCCTCTGCTCATGGCGGCTGCTCTTGCGGAGTACACCATCTTCTGGTCAAAAGTTGTAGAAAATCCTAAATCAGCGATTCATGCCACGAACGAGCCAGAGACTCATCCCCAGAGGAACTTACTCATCAACAACAACAGGTAAGGTTCTGTTGAGACCTCTTCTCAGCATTTCGACCACAAAGTGCACAGTCACTCCATTTTACAGTATATTCTGTGAAGTGCTTTGAGACACCTTGAAGATGTGATAAGGTGCTATATCAGATGCAAGGATTATTATTGTTATAAAGCTGCTACCCTTTCGCACCTCTGACAATGCATTGCACTGGAGTTCAGAGTCCTTCTGATTCAGAGGTAAAAATTTTACCAAGTGAACTTGGCTGACATCCGGGGAATCCCTGGGAAACACTATCTCCCTTTACAAATCCCTGAACTGTCTCCCTCTCTACCTCTCCTGTTGCCCTTTCATCCCAAGTATGGATTTATCCCTTTGCTCTTTCAATCTCCTCCTCAGAGAATTCCACACTTCAACGAAGAGTGAAGTCTCTGTCTCTCTCCCGGTTTATTTTCTCCTCCTCATTTATCAAACTTACTGCAAATTCAAGTGAATCCGTTACTCATTTCATTGACTGTAGGTTGTTGTTGCTGATGTGGATTAGTTGCCTTCAGAATAACATTCACTTTGTATCTAATCAAACGTTTTTCTAAAGCGCTTCCAGATGTTTGTTTTAAGTGAAACAACAACAGCAGCAAATTACATTTATATACAGTGCCTTTCACGTCAGAAGGATGTCCCAAAGCATTTGACAGTTAAGGGTTTACACACAATGTCAGGGAGTGGGGGTGGGATTGTGGCCGAAGGCATGGTCAAAGAGGAAGGTCTTGAGACGGGCCTTGAAGGAGCCAAGGGAGGAGCAAGGCAGAGGGGCTCCGGGATGGATTTCCAGAGAGTGGGGACAGAAAATCTGAAGGCCGGTGTGTCAATGGTAGGGCGGGCAGGGCGATGGACATGAAGAAGGCCTGTGCCCGCTGAATGGAGGAGCAGACAGGTTGGTATGGTTGAAAAGCACTGGATAAATGAAAGCAGGTGAAGTGTGGCAAGCGGGTAATCTGTTTACCTATCAGTAAGTGGGATTGTTAGTCGTTGGGTGGATCGCTTTCTGGAGGTAATAATCCCTCCAAAATAAATAAATAAATAATTAATAATAATTTGGTCACTCAATCCACAACTGTTTGCGGGACACTGCTGGCCCACAAAGTATACAGTCACTCCACTTTACAGTATATTCTGTGAAGCACTTTGAGACAACGTGATAAGGCGCTATATCAAACGCAAGAATTCTCATTCTTATTATTATCATCATCATAGGATCATGGAATCTTTCACCACCGAAGGAGGGCATTCAGCCCATCGTGCCTGTGCCGGCTGTTTGAAAGACCTGCCAACTAATCTCACTCCCCACCTCTTACCCCATCGCCCTGTAAATTTTTCTTTTTCAAGTACATGTCCAATTCTCTTTTGAAATGTTATCATATTAATTAATTTTAGTATTGTTTCCTGATGCTGAGTAGTTGACTGGTAACTAACACATCTTTGTTGCCTTGCAGTATTCTGGACGATGAAAGTGTAACGGCTCAGAAACAAAGGCTGGAGAAACAGGTACCTCCCCAATGAGTTCCTCCCCATTATTGATGAGCAATAGCAATAGCGGAGACACTACTTCAGTGAGCGAGTGGTCAACTTATGGATGTTTCAAGAACAAATTGGATAGATTTCTGTTAAAAAATAATATCTCGGGATACACTATTTGGTTGGGACATGATGTCAAGTGATTGCCAGGATGGTGGAAAGCAAACTAGATGGACCTTGGTCTTCCTTCGCCAGCAAATTCGTATGTTCCTATGTTTCTCTCAAGCACTCTTTACAGCCTCTTGAGAACATCACTGAACGATCCTGTGTAAAGATCTCAAATCCCTTTCTCTCTTACAGTTGTTAAGCTAACTGGCCTATCATTTCTGTGCCCTTCTCTCTTTCCTCTTGAATTTCCTGATACTATTTTTATTAATAATAATAATCCCTGAATTTGATGGCGGGCCTGTAACGTCAAAATGCTTCGCAGGTAATTGCTGTCGGGTATAGTGACTGTGTTTGTAGGCAGAGAATTTGCACACAGCGAGGTCCCATAAAGTGCACGTCCAGTTTAGCTGGAAAATTGTTGGCCAGGACACCTGGAGAAACTCCCTTTAGTCAATTGCTTTTGTTGGGAGTTCAGTGATTCCAGATAGGTCCCACTGGGACTGTGCCACAGATTGTCACAGTGAAATGTTTGGGCAAGTTTCCTTACTCCACACGCCTCTGTTTACCCAGCAGTAAGTAGGAACCCAGTTGTTAGTCGATTGGCGGATCGCTTTTCCAGGAATAATGATCCTTCAAAAAAATATATAAAAAACAAGTAATAATTTAGTCACTTAATCCACGACTGTTTGTGGGACGCTGCTGTGCACAATTGGCTGCTGCATTTCACCCACAAAATATACAGTCAATTCACTTTACAGTATATTCTATGAAGCGCTTTGAGATGTCTCAAAGACTTGATAAGGTGTGATATCAAATGCAAATCCAGGGATAATCAAGACTGGGAAAGCAAGTGGCAAATCTGTAACAGGCTACGAGGAAGGGTGTCTGAGGCCATGACGCTGGGACTCGTTTAAGAAACAGCTTGGGAGGACTGTCATGGGTGGATGGTCGGGTGGTATTCTGGAAGGATGATATCAGATGGTCCGAAGAGTCCTCTTCATCTGAGCCTCTTATGATCTCTCAGTCATTGTGATGCTTTTCAGCTGTAACTAATAATGACCAATGAATGTTATGCCATTTGTGCCATCCTATAGCTCAGTGGTTAGAGCACTAGCCTTGCAAACGACAGGACCTGGGTTTGATTCCCGGGGGAAACTTTAGGCAAGTTTCCTTACTCTACACGCTTCCGTTTACCTAACAGTAAGTAGGAACCCAGTTGTTAGTCGATTGGTGAATCGCTTTTCCGGGTTTAATAATCCCTTAAAAAAAAATAATAATTTGGTTTGTTACGCCTTGGATGTCAACTCACCTTCTTCTTGCTCCATCAAATAAATAAATATTAATAATAATTTGGTCACTGAATCCAGGACTGTTTGTGGGACACTGCTGTGCGCATATTGGCTGCCGTGTTTCACCCACAAAATATACAGTCAATTCATTTTACAGTATATTCTGTGAAGAGCTTTGAGATATTTCGAAGATGTGATAAGGGGCTATATCAAATGCAAGGATTATTATTATTAGAATAATTATTTACAAAGCCAACCGATGCAACCCAGTGGCAGAAATCAAGTACAACACAAGTTGTGTTCAGGAAAACCTCATTCAACTGATGTTCCCTTCAACATAATCTTATTGGATCTCCAACATGTTAATTGGTGTTTTAATCAACAAGACTTAAAAAGAGGAAAATAATTGGGGAATCAGTGGCACGATGGCGAAGTCTAAGAATTGTATCGGATTGTGTATTATAGTGTATTGGAGTAAGACCGCAATGTGCAATATATCTCCATTTTTCTTGTCTTCGTTCCTACTCTTTTCAGTCTCATTATTATAATAATATTAGTCCTTACAATTAACATATTGTCTTCCAAATCAGGAAGATGTCTCAAAGCGATTCACTGGATTTACTGTAAAGTGTAGTGACTGTATATTTTGTAGGTAAACACAGCAACCGACTTGCATATACCAATGTCCCACCTACAGCCACAAAGTCAATGACCAATTTTATCTGGGGGATGGGATGGTGCTGTGATGAGAGGATCTGGAAGGATGAGGTTAGGATGTTTGTGGGATATTGTTGTGCGTCATTTGGCTGCTGTGTTTATCCACAAAACCCACAGTCACTCCAAGTTACAGTATAATTTCTGAAGCACTTTAGGATGTCCTCCCGACACAAAAGCTGCTGTACCAAATGTAAGAATTTTTATTATTTATCACATGAGTTGAGGGGGTCATCAGAACCTCTCCTGTGATCTGTTGATTAAGCAAATGGAGAAGCATGAGCCAGGCAGTGCATGAAATGACTTCTCTGCAAATGTCAGAGTAACATCTGCAAGTATTCTTGAGTAATGTTCATCTGATCCACAGTATTACACAGTAATATTACTACTCTCGAGATTGGGATAGACATTGATGTCATATTAGTGATGGCTCATGAGCTGAAAGCCAATTTGCCCGGAGAGACTGGAATTTCTCTGGATTGGTTGGCAATCTAAATGGATAAGTTTGTTGTGGTTATGTTATGCAGCTTTAGTTGTGTCTTCAGAAGGCCTACAGTGATAGACAGTGATGCCTTAACAGCAGGAGAAAGCGGACATAAGCCTTTATCAGGTGGTCAAAGATACACAGAAATAGAACTGACATTATTGTAGTGTTGAAACATCCCCTACAGCCTCACAGGTACTAACTATCAAGTGTAGTGAAACATGGTGGCCACTTGCACTAGGAAGGTCCCACAATGACAGTCTGGTGGATTGTTGGGCAGGACACTGGGAGAAAACTCTCTTCTCTTTTCAAACAGTGTTGTGGGATCTTTAGCATCCACCCAAACAGGTTTGACATTTCATTCAAAGTGCACTGCACTGGAGCATCAGCCTAGACTGGGCACCCAACATCCTGATGTGGGACTTGAACCCACAACCATATAACTCAGAGATGAGTGAGCTGCTGGCTTAGCCAGGCTGGAACACTGATTAATTAGGCTTATCTGCCACCTCCCTCCCTTTCTCTCTGCAGGTCTATGGTGGATCCTACACTAGTGATCACTAGAGGAGAGCTTTAGTCTGACAGACAGGCTTGGGGCTGTGTTGCAGGGCAGGGCCAGGACTTGAAACAAAGCTGATTATCTTCCTCATGTTTTTTTCTGCTGGATTATCCGTGCCTGCGTTTGTCTGTGGCTCCTGGTAGCCTGGGGGCTGAAGTTATTTTTTTTATTCCACTATTTTCCACTAATGTAATTACCTTAAATCACCTGATACATTGGTCTGTTGGACTCCCCAGAAGTCTGAACACCTCTCGTGCTTCTATCTGCCCGCGCACAAGCATGTCTGCAGAGAAGGTGAGAGTGTTAGGGGATAGGGGAGAGGAGGAGAAGGAGGAGGAGAAGGAGGAGGCGAGAATGGGGAATGGAGGGTCAGAGAGTGGAGGGTGGGGAATGGAGGGTGAGAGAGTGGAGAATGAAGGGTGAGAGAGTGGAGGGGGAACGGAGAGTGAAAGAGATTCGAAGCAGAGGACATGGCCTGCAATTGAAGGGGGATAAATTCAGAACAAATCTACAATACTTCAGTGAGCGAGGAGTGAACTGATAGAACAGACTCCCAAGGGAGACGGTGGAAGCAGAAACTATTGTTTGTTTCAAGAACAAATTGGATAGATTTCTATTAGAAAATAATATCTCAGGATACAGTTTATAGTTTGGGACACAGCATGTCAAGCAACTGCCAGGATGGTGGAAGATGAAGATGAATTAGATGGACTTCTTTCACCAGCAAATTCTTATGTTCCTATGTTCTGAGATTGGAGGGTGGGGAATGGAGGGTGAGAGGGTGGGAGTGCGGCGAGTGGGAGTGCGGCAGGTGAGAGGGTGGGAATGCAGAGGGTGAGAGGGTGGAGGGTGAGAGAGTGGAGGGTGGGGAATGGAAATGGTGGAGAAGAAATCCACATTTCAAGACTGAAAGTAATGAAACGTTCTATATAAATATATATATATATATATATAAATATTTGGTTCCTCATGTGAATTTTGTGGTAACTCAGCTAATAGTAATGTGGATCATCGTGTGTGTCACTTGATATGTAACTGGATTTTGTCTTATTCCGGTTTCACTGTTACTGTTTCTCTCTCCGTGGCGACGTTCCAAATTCCTCTTATTTGGTTGCTCAGGTTACTGGATCGCAATGTCCTACTGAGACCCAGGATCTCCAATGTCAAAGCCTGTGACAGGCTGCAATAATAATAATGATAATAATAATAATAATAATCCTTGCATTTGATACGGCACCTTATCATCTTGTTGAGATGTCTCAAAGCGCTGCACAGGATATACTATAAAGTGGAGTGACTGTGTATTTTGTGGGCAAAATATACATGTGGAGTACTGTAGCTCAGTGGTTAGAGCACTCACCTCTCAAGCGAGAGATCTGGGTTTGATTCCCGCCAGGGTGAAACCTTGGGCAAGTTTCCTTACCACATATGCCTGATAATAATCCCTCAAGAGAGAAAAAAAAATCAATCGGTCACTTCAATCCACAACTGATTGTGGGACTCTGCTGTGTGCAATTGGCTGCCACGTTTCACCCACAAAAATATACAGTCAATTCACTTTACAGTATATTCTGTGAAGTGCTTTGAGATGTCTTGAAGACGTGAAAAGCACTATATCAAATGCATGGATTATTATTATTATTATTATAGTCATGTGCTCCACAGAATGGAGTCAAATAATCTGGAGAAAGAGAGAGATTTCCTTTCCTCATCCTATCTCCTCCCACCTCTCCCTTCCTCTCTCTCCCCCTCTCTTTCCTCTCTTCTATGTCTCTCTATCACAACTTTTTATTTTTTGTGTTGGTAATGTTTATAT